CCGATTAAGGGCATTGCGAGTCCAGATTTTATTATACACGTCCGTGACTGCAACACGGACGTGATTAATTGGGCCTGCAATACGGTGCGCAGCAACGGTGCTATTTTTATGCTTTGGTTTCTGGAATGTACAACACAGCACTCAGGAAAAGGCAAAGGTACATCAGTTAACCCAAATGAAGCAAAGTGTGAACATCTCTGACAGGTTTTTAGGCCCTCTTTGCTTGCACATCATAAAACCAAAAAAACGTGTTTCAGGGCAGGATGAAAAATGGAGTGGTCTTCAGGTCAAGTATCTCTGTCAAGTCTATCTGTCTTAATTTAATCTCCCCTCCCGGGGTGAGACTTACCAGAGAAACTGATGCAGTTAATTGGAATGCTCTGGTTGCCAACATCAATCTTAGTCTTGGAAGTGGTGGGAGGCTTGGCATCAACTGGATACTGCTTGGTGGCAGACCTGAAATTCACGAAATCAGCTTAGGCTTAGAATTGAGCTAATAGAGAATAAAAGTTGACCTTCCCTGTTTTTAGAAACCTGGACGAGAAAGGGAAACATCTGAAAAATCCCAAATGTGACTGGATCCAAGGAATGGGTCTCAAGGGATATTTTTCAGAGTGTTCAGTTAGGTGTACAAAAAAAGGCATCCTAAGGCTTTCGTTTGGATGTTTCAAAGGGGATCGTTATGTGAGTAACAAGTGTTGACTACTCCGTTTGATTTGCACTCTGGATCTGTTTGACCAGATGAAACTCAAAATTAGCTCAGAGACTTGTAGCTCATTTACTTTTGGTGTTTTGTTGGGTCGCACACTGCTGATATTACATAATGACCAAAGTTCTTCATGAATGTTTGGTGTGTTTACCTTGATCAGTTATTTACATCTCTAATGTTTGGTGTTCTGTGATATGCACTTTCAAAATGGCACACAATCTGCATTATTATTGCTTTAAGTAGCCAATGAGAGGTAAGGGTGTATCCACGGGGGCCAACAGGGGCCATGGACCCTCCCCCTGAAAGAACAATGATGAGAATGTTTTGTAATCAATCAGAGTGAAGATATTAACCCTAACTCCCTCGGGTGCGCAAAATCATATTAAAATTGGAGGATTCAGGGCTGTTAGGGTTAAGAGTCTTAAATGCAGGTTGTTTTGTATGGACAGAGCCATTTTGTTCAGGAAACTGCTTCTAAGCAGCTGCTTAATTGTGACTGGTGTAATCAGTTAATGCAAAAGTGCACCGGGGATGCTGCTTACTTGTTTTGCCCTCCCCACCCAAAAAAAACCCAAGGGGGTTTGGATCCGGCCTTGACGAGAGAGAGTGATGTCACTTTCATTCACATCGTGTATTTAGATGTTCACAGCTTTTATCTTGTTGTGCCACAAAGGGATCAGTCTAGGGACTGGTATTCAGAAGTGCATGGGGAAAGTGCTGGTGGCAGCTTTTCCTCGAGTTTCTGACTCATGGCAATGAGTAACTCATGAACACGAGACACATGATGTGGTTAAAACAAATCACACGGCGGCAATCAATACGCAAAATACTTGTGAGAGAAACAGTTTTTAGAACTCAATACGAATGCTGCATTTGATTTTACAAAAAGGCTTTCTGACCAAAGTAAGGATTTGCCAAAAGCACTTTGGTTACTGCCAGTCATAACACACATATCTTTGAGAAAGTACCATCGACTTCTCCAAGTTGAAGCCAAGAGTGGAAAAAAATTTCACTAAATCTATACATCACATGCAACAGTTATATGTTCTTTCTTCTATGGCAACCACAAATTTCCAAATAAAGTACATGTACTTAAACAGGTCTATGCAATTGAGAACCACACACAACCTAGCAAACTGTTGGTGAAGACAAACAAAAATGCAAACTGTGCATGTGAAAGCTGTGGTAGCAAAGACAGAGGTCATGGAGAGTAATGCTTCCAATTAACATTTCCAAAGTGTTTCCAAAAATATTGTAGAGTGTTTGATTCTTTGAAATTGTACTTTTGTCATTTTCACACCCTGCAGAATTATTGATTTTTGTGTCTCATGATCTTCTGCATTCTGGAGACTTTGCTGATAAGAAGAAATGACACCCATTCTTTCTGTTTTTTTTACCTGGAAGCAGCCCCAGCAGACGCCCCTTTCTGTCTCTTGGCGGAGCTGGCTTTACCAACGTTTGTCTTGGGAGAAAACAGTTTAGCCCTGCAAGTACACAAGAACTTTAGATATGTCAAGTCAATTTTTAATGCTCCTACTAAATTTAAAAAACTGACCACCTGCTGTCGACTGCAGTCAGCAAAACCCACAGAAAACTGAGAAAAAAATGCAAGTTTACTTTATTCTGATGTCATGTATCTCATCTATGACAACGCAACCGATTTGACATCATTAGAAAAACACTACTAAGGGATTGGTGGAAAAGTAATGACTAAATATTTCTGTTCTTTTACAGATCAAAAGATTTAATTACAACTAACAAAAGGACTGGATAAATTTCCTCCAAGCCTCCCTCAGACTTCTACATGTATACATATCACTAGTCTTGAGTTGCCAAGTCTTAGGTTATCCAGTCTCATGTACTAAGCTTTCAAACAAGAGACAAAACGCATTCTATCATTGAACATTCCTTGTTATTTTAAATACTTGTGACCTGGCTGACGAAAATTATATCTGAATTTTATAACCAACAAGTCACAAACTTATACTTCCATCATATAAAACAGGACACAATTTTCTTCTATTCCAATTTCAGGACATTTACAAATACAAAGTGAGTTTGTGCATTCTGCAAATGATTCGTATTTGACAAGGAAATTTTACTTTTCCCTTATTTTCATTTTTCTTAGCTCACTCTGCCAACAGAGTTCCTGCAGGTAAAGATTATTCCTCTTTGTTCACTCACTGGGGGTTTAATGAGTGGGACACACAGCATGTACCCTGACTGGCACCGTACTGAGGGGAAAATTTTGGGACTGAGCTGTGGGGACAAAAGTGAATCCTAACCCTGCCGGACGCAGCACAATGCATCAGGTGAAAAAGTCTGATGTGCATTGATGCACTGGGCAATCAAGACCAGCCAAATACACTGGCCATGTTGAGATAATCAGAACAATCAGTAGTCCTATTAAACCATGCCACTGTTGGATCCTGTGGTGACAGGCAACTACTGACTCCCTGGTGGTTTGGCCTTGGGGACATTTGACCTGTTGGATCTTGTTACACTGAGCAGACAAGCCACTTTGACAAATGACGCAGACTCCTGTCTGACAGCATTTTCTAGTCAAAGTACTCTGGAGGGTTGGGGTTAACAATTATGCCCCCCCCCAAAAAAAACAAGTAACCACAACTACCGTGCCAGTATGAGTTCAATGGCTCGCAGGATCATGGTGCAAAATCCACATCGCTGAGTCCAAAAGCAGATCCCGGTTTCTTAAAAATAGGAATACAATGGAACATGAGGGAACACTGTCCCTCAGTTCCCTGGCATTCCTGTATTTAATAAACCTAGACCTGTCACAGACTGATTTTCCTCTGAATGAGCATAGTCCCTGCATCGTCACACGGGGGCAATGTTGTACACCTGTGTCTTCCCTCTCCCTCGTCTGCCACACTTAAATGCACAGGTCATAGTGCATGATGGGACTGCATACGTACCTTGGTGCTTCCGTGTAGCCCGAGGACTTGACTTTGCTCTTGAAAGTCAGCGCTTGGTCCTGGACCCCTGGTGATGATCTTGACGGCTTCTTCACACCCACTTTGCCACCTTGCTTGGTCTTGGTACTTGTGTCCTTGGGCTTATCTATCATCTCTGACCTCAAAAGGGACTTTTCACTCAGTGGAACACTGAAAACAGATACCAATTTGGTAAGTAAACAGCACATGAATGTTTCCTGCCCAAGTGCTTTCAACAAAAAAGTCAAGTACCAGCCTATGCCAAATGACCAACATGTTCAATGTTTGGTAAATACATTTCCATCAACATTTTGATATCATTGACGTTTATGATGGTCAGGTATGTGGAGGAGTAGAATGGCTGCACATTAAACAATGCAATGACTGCTGTGACTGATGTTGAGCCTGAAATTATTTGCATTCAATCAAAGCTTTCATTTGTCAAAATCAACATCAGACAAAGTGTCCAGGGAATCAGGCTATTAAAACTGCCAGCCTCTTAACTAGGTTCAAAGTCATCCCATTTAGACACACGACTCCATAATTTCTACATTTGTGTGTGATAAATGACCTTAAAACAGTTTGGAAATTATTATCTTTATTTGGATAGACAGATGTCCAAGTATCAATGTATAACCCTAACAGTCCCCAATCCTCCAATTTCAATATGATTTTACATGCACCCTCGGCGGTTAGGGTTGATAATAAAAAGGCCTAATTATGTATGTATCATTGACCAATTTCACTAAAAGGCATTTCCAATGATATACATGTGTAATAAGAAGTTAAAAATAAGAAATCAAATTAGGATGGACACAAGGATATAACAAACACTACCATACCTTGAGATAACAGTAAGTTGTTTAGTGTCACCATCATCTCCTGGAGAGGCTCCACTCTTGTCTTTTGAAGTCTCCAGGGAGAGACTGTTAAATTCCACTGGAAGGGCAGAGCCTGGCACTGAAGGAGGGGCCTTCAACTGAATCACATCCACAGCATTCTCAAAAACACTACCAATGATGCACCACGTCTGGCAGAGAAATTCAAAGTTAGAATGGAAATGTTTGACTCTAAGTGGACTGCACATGACCACCCCCTAGCCAATTAGATGTATTTCGATGCTAGGAAGCATCTGGTACTAATAAACTACCAGTAACATCATCCTAGGACAAGAAGATTCATGAATTCAAGAAACGAATTGAATCATATGTTGTTTTAAAGTGACAAAATTCTCAGGACCAAATCTTTCCCATGATGATGATGAACAATATTTAATCCCTTGGGTGCAGAGTAAATGTGGAGGTCAGAGCCTCTGGGAAATACTTTGTGTACTTAAAAAAAATGCCTGTCTAATACCTCAAGCGAAGCAAATTTGTCAGTGTAACAGTAACCATCAATCTAATAAGTCACGGAATGAGCATCCCTTTCTATGGCACACAAAATACACTTGTGCATAATCCCCCCTTATTTGGGACTCAAACACATCTTGCAGTCTTTTCAGTCTTAAACGGCAGATCTCACATTGGCAGTGTTGTTTTCTTGAACATTACAGACATGTAACATAACGACGTCAGGCTGTGTTTGCATGTGCGCTTTCCAGTGGCAGTGAAGTGAAGATCTGTCCAGCTCCCATAGGAAAGTGTACATTATGTTCAAATCCTCTATCAATTAACACTTCTCAAACACCAAATCTTGTTCAGAAATTTAAAAACTGACTTCCAATGCAAGACTTTAAGGAATGTGGGCTTGCCAGTCAACTCTTACCTACATGTAGTTCTCTGTGTTTGTTGCTCTCTTACCTGGTTGTCCGAGTTTGTTGCTTGAGCAAAGGCATAGGAGCCAGAGAGCGTCATGTAATGCTGATCGGCTCCGGACGGAATTGGATCTATTCAAAACACCAGTATAACAAGCTTCCTTATAACTTCAAAAGGAACGCATACAGCCATGCCCATTTGAGCCCATGACATCCAAAGATGAATGCAATCAAACTCAAGATTTTTACAAGTCTCGTAACACAGACCAGTCAGTGCCTGTACGGAGATCAGGGTATTTGACTGGCACACGAGTGGTCAGTTGGACTGACTCAGGATAAAGGAACTTAGACAGCCTTTTCCTGTGTGAAATACTGGGGCATCGAGTTATGTGTGACAGAAGCCATTTCCAGGCAACTACTCATTTGCTCTACCCGCACAAAAGGTGATCTGCGAACACGGGAGTGATCATACGCTCCATATACAAGGGATGCAATATTCTTAACCCTCCTATGCTGAAGTCACTCTTTGGGTCACTTGGTAAACACCCCAAAGTAGCACAGCTGTGTCGTGTTGTGCACTGCACCAACATGCAAGAGAGTGACCTTGGGCACTTGTGCATATTTGTGCTGTAAAACTAAAGGAGGGTTAAATAGCTCAGACAATCCTTTGGGGGTACACAAAACATGTGCATGTAGACAGGCATTCACCGCGTTCAGGAGACAAATTCTTTTGTTAAGGAAATTTGAACTGAGTTGTGGGGGCATTTCTGAGTCCCCACCATGTTTTCGGTCCCAACTTAATGGGTGAAATATCGAGTGTATGTCCCCACAACTACGGTGTGGGAGATAGTAGATTCACACATTTTTCACTGGAATTCATCGGTATCTTCTCTCTTCTATTATTAGAAGGTAGATCTACATGTATATTGGAAGCAATCATATCAATCAAGCAAGCAAGCAAGCATTTTTAGTGGAAAGAAAATCAAACAGTGCATATTCCTGCTTCAGAGCTAAGAAAGAGACAAGGAAATAAGGTTTAGCATGGTTCACACTGTGACACAAGTTTATGTCAATTATTGGAATCATTAAAATCGTACTGAGAATTTTGGCTTGTGCATATCAAACTAGCCAGATCATGTTGTCTGTACAGAAATCAGGACATCTGTGCAGAACAATGTTTAATAGGATACCTTTGGTTTGACAGCATGCATGCCCCAAAACCTGTGTCCAGCTTCATATAGATGCATACCATAACTGAAATTACTATATCTCACACGTATTCATGACGGATCAACGAACTCTCATTGGTGCATTCACGGCTATATTTGCCAAACACACAGGATCGTTCATGCAAGGAGTAAATACGCATGTGTTTTTAACTGTCGCCCGGCTTACCCGGGCCGACAGTTAAAAAAGCATGCGCAGTAGCAGAAAATCCAGGAACTGTTGCCTAGGTTTACTGTGCACTCATGGTGGCGCCAGCCTAGTAATGGTCTGCACCATTACCACTGTAAAATAAATGTAAATCGAAAAGGATGAACTGTTTGTGTTGCGACCTTGGGAACAAAGTAAAAGTTTGAGGAAACAAATGATGACATTTTTATTTTCAGAGGTTACTGAATAAAATAAATGTATGTATGAGTTACAGTGAACCAAATATACTGCAACATGCTTTATTTCTGTTGGACAGTTGATGTCAGCTCCCCGAGGTATTGGGATAAACTTCGAGGCTTTGCCTCGGAATTACAATCCTGGACAAAATTTTTGGGACACTTTGCAAGAGCCGTACACTCTGCAGCCCCCTCCCCCACTCCCCCGGTCAATGTTTTCATGTCCAGCTGGAGTGCAGACAGGGCCCATAGACCCAACATTGAAAGGGGGTCTGGGGGTTGGAGGCCCAATGAGATTTGTCCAGGATTGTAGTTCGTCAACTCCTAATACCTAGGGGAACTAACACCAACTGTCCAACCTCAAACCATGCTATATTTGTTTACTACTTCCAATGTAGCTATGCAAGCACCCACACTAAAGCCCCTGTCTGACCAATGCATGAAAGCTATGACGATGGTCTACATGCCAGTCCAACTCACAAACATTGTTATATTTCATACACATACCTTGAAAGTCTAAGAATGATGCCAGTTCAAAGCTGTGGGCGTTGACTTGAAGCAGAGCGCCAGGGGTACCTATGATGAGCATTGGTGATTCATCTAACAGTTCTCTGTAATACAAAGAACCGAGTGGAAAAACAGGCACATTATGCTTTGAATTGCAAAACGATACCAAGAGAAGCCAACAAGATTGTGTCACTCAAAGCTTAAGTATAACTTGCAGAGAAAATTTGCACAAGGAAAATTTGCACATTATGTGCTTTAACGAGCTATAGGCAATCACAACATAGCAGAGTCATGTGATTGCAGTGCACACAACTCCCTTGATCTGGCCTTCTGTCTTCAAAGCATTCATACAGTAAATGAATGAATACTGACTCTATCAAGGAATCATCTGGGAGGAGGGATGGAGGTTTGGTTCGTGTGACATCACTAGAAGAATCCCTTGATGCTGCAGACACCCTTGTAGTGAAATGCAAGCCTAGGATAGCTTCTCCAGCCTCAGAGGCAAAGTCAGCATCCTCAGGTCTCTCATCCTCATCTGGCTGGGGGTCTCTGAGCCTCTTCCAAGCTGGATGACTACTGATGGTCCTCGGACCTTGAATTTCAGAGGAAGGGACGATAAAGTTAGTAACTTGGCATATAAGGATGTTTCAAAAAACAGGAAAACACACTTTGGAATTTTTTATTTTTCATTCTCTGTGAAAAAACACAATTATAGTTAAAGACTAGAATCAGAGGGCAAAAGTGGTGATATTAAGCTTGCAGACAGGTCATATGTACTCGTCAAATGCCTCTTTGACCAATAGGGTATTATGAATTTCCAAAATGCACCTTAGCTGTACAAGTAAACCTGTGTAAGAAAGTATGTGTATACTGCTTATACAGGAATGATGATGGTCTATAGCATACAAATACTGATTGCTTCACAATGCTAGTGGTCATGCATTCTTTAGTTGCCAAAGGGACAATGTGAACGATGCATGCTTTTATGACATGATGATTACACTTGGACCACTTTCTCCACCAAGATGACACCAACCAAATTACTGATGATTTTAATCATTCCCAATTTTTAAACAGTGAAGATGTCAAATGGCACATTTTTCTTGAACATATAAAAACGGGGAAAACTGGACAAATTGAACTTTCATCAAGTTGATGGTTGAGTCAAACAAATCTGTATCTCTCAAACACCACTTTTTTTCGATGTAATGTGGTCCAAGGTTGTACTATCCTACGGATGAACAGAGAACACTGCTTGTCATTACTTCATTAGCTGACCTTCAGTTCATTCGACCTGAGAACATACTTTTCTTTGGTTCATAAACACTGACTGCTACGTTGATTGGGTGGCCAAAGTATGCACAACGTTCATTTGTACTTGACGACAGAGTTTGCCCCTACTGCACAATCACTCCATCAGTAGACAAGTGTGAGGCATTTTCATTTTTCGTTTTCCAGAAGTAACATTTCTAAAGCAATAGTTTACAGGTGCTTTTAATATTTCAATACTTCGTAATTTTTTTCTGCCACTTCTGTACTGATGGGCAGCCACATTGGCCAATCCACCTGTTGGCAACTACGACTGTGATATACTTATTCTTTCTGTTTAATCAAAAGTAAAGAGGTAGGTCTCTCTTCGATACCTGCAGCTGCACGGTTGTTTTTGTCTAATTCCCTTGCGTCTCCCTGTGTGTGAAGCATCTTGGCAACGTCTAGATGATGCAGACAGCGATATCCATTGCCCTCAGTCGTATCATAGATTCTCACCTTGTTGCACAAAACGGTTACAATGGAAAACGGTTATAAATATGACCCAAGTTATTACTAGTCAATAAAATGGGAGAGGGCGGGCTGGCTAAGATATCTTGATGTCGGTTTATTTCTGGAAAAACAGGAAATGGAGAGAAAATAATTTAACAAGTCTTTCCTCGTCTCCGGTCAGCATTCGAATAACCGTTAGTATCTATAAACTTAATCTGAATACATAAAACATGTGAATTACAGCATACCGGTAAATTATTTATGTCTATACTACATAAATGACATACTAGAAAAAGAATACTTGAAGTAGAATGAGGTGCAAAATGGGGGCTTTTGGCGATTTCCCGCCAAACCGTATCTTACGGCCACCATCTTGGAAATTTACACAAAAATAAAGAAAAATCACTTCAAAACCAACGGTAAAGAAGCAAAATGGGCATATTACGGTACGATACCGATGATTCAATAATGCATATAGTTACTTTAAATCTAGACAACTTAAAATAATAATTTAAAGATGGGTGTAAATAAGGAAATGCTCTGAGATGGTCACGACTTAGCAAATATTTCTAAGGAGCAATGCCTACGGACTGAATCCTTGGTAATACACATGTACAAGTAAACATAACTGTACAAAATCAATTAATTATTAAATAATGAAAATAAAAGAATAACAAATTTACCAGGAAAAACAGGAAATGGAGAGAAAATAAATAACAAGTCTTTCCTCGTCTCCGGTCAGCATTCGAATAACGCTGACAAGGGTCCCGTTTACGTAGCCTATTCTGATTGGCCCATGGATTGTAATCATAAAAGAAAATATTTAAATACCAGAAGGGTAACAGGCGAAACTGCAAAATTATGAGGGGAGATCTTTTTTCAGTTCGTCGACACAAAGACAGTCACAAGCAATATGTTACAAAGTAATCACTGGTATCAACCCAAATCTCCAGGGCACAAACCACAAGCAGTGTTGCAGCTGAGTAATCTTTGATGTCCCGATGTAAACCAGAATGTTACGTGATGCAGTGCAAATCCAGGCCAAAGTACCGGTATGACTTTAAGTGGACACATGTATGAAAGAAATAGCTGCAAAAGCACACAGTAAACTCTTGATAACTCGAATCTCAGGTGAATGGATAAAAAATTTGAGTTCTTCGAACAAAAGTTCCAGAATCTTGCCCACACATACATACATAGTGCACAAGTAACCCCACCTGCTCCCCCCCCTCGGTGGCTACTGAAAAGGTTTACAAGTGGGTATTTCCTAATAATCCAAGAATAAAATTATACTAAAAGTCATCAGTTTGCTGAGATTTCCTTTTTTTCTTACATAAAATTTTCTATTCTACTGATAAATAAAATATACATTGCCAAAACTATGTACTTCTTGTGACAATTCTGTCATTCAGCCTGGGCCTCGGGTTTTTCTGTTTGGCCACATGATCATTCCATTTTAATCCCACTCATTTTCAGTGATTAGCCGGCAGTCTTTTTGGATCACCCTTCAAAAACCTGGAATTCAGCAATTGTGGCTGTGTGGCCATTTCAAGTTTTAGAGATACACATTTTTGTACATAAAGGTCTATTATTTTGGCAGGAATGAAGAATGTCTAAGCGGAGTTTTGAGTTTCAACGAAGTTATCGAGAGTTTACTGCACTGAAGTCCCTGTTATTATTAGTTGGAAATATGCCATCCAACGAAAGATGCCTGATTTGACAGTTATAATTACAATAGTTCTGCACGTCCATCTTGTAAATGAGGAAATGTTAATTCTCTCCAAGTTTAGAACTAGAAGTTGACTGAAGCTACAAGCTGTCTCCTCTCTGCCTTTTCGTCCTGATGCCTGATGTTTAGTTTCACCAAATAACCAGGACAACTTCCAAATTTAGGCAAGAAAACCAGTCTTCACATACCTGGCCATCTGCGGATCCCACGGCAAAACCTTCACTTGTTTGGTTCATCACAAGACTGAGAAATGGTGAGGCTAAATGTGAAGAAAAAGAATATACCACTCATAAATACCTTGGATGGTTTCCCTATTCAACACCGTGCAAAGTGACCATGTATTAATATTTGATAATGCCCACTGCATAAAAATGTGCTGGCACCTCGATATGAGAAAGTTTCATCCACTCCTATTGGTCAAGAGTCTGTGTGCATAATATCCCATATCTGCAGAAGATGTGCATAAAAGTTGTGCATTTTCAGAATTTCATTGCATTTTGCACAACCATAAAATGGATGGGAGAGTTCAGGAAAATGAGAGTAAAATTCTTGCACAAAATCCTCGGAAATTTATCGTATGTTGACTTCTTTTGACTCTCTGATGGAAACAACATCCACGAATGGGAATAAGTATGTGTGAGCTTGGCAGATCTTAAACGTGCATCAAGACCAGCTCGGGAGAATGGAAGGGATACCCAAGCTGCAACAAGCACATATTTATCCCCTTATTAATCTAACCCATTTGTTATTTTTTTCCCAAAAGAACCTTTTCAATTATCCAAACCCCTCTGCTACACATCATCCAAAGTGGCATCTTTTTCAGACTAAATATAGGGTGTTATGTCATGGTGTGTGGGCTGAATCCCACACCCAAGTCCCCGCAAAAGCTTCCAAAAGGTTAATATATTTTCCAAGAATTTCAATGATCAAAACTATTCACAAAGTCTTTGCCTCTTTCTGAAATGAAGCTGTGGCTTGATAACGTGGGATAAGAGATGACAGCCATCAAACATAAATAAATGAGATAATATGAGATAATAAATGATACAAAGACAAATGGAAAAAGGTGTGATTTTTATACCTGAAATTATACAGGATTGGTATATGACACATCCTTCTGTAATGTCCCATATCTGCAGAAAAATAAAGTTGTGCATTATGAAAATTATATGCATGTACAAAAACAAGCAGTTCTTCCACATTTCCATTAACTGACAGCAAAAGTTATTGATGCTTTCCACAGGAAGTTTATCACAATTTCAATGCTCAGAACAGTCTTACAATCAAAAATGTTAATTTTGACAGAATGTAAAAAAAGGTACTTGCAATCGGGTGAAAATACTCTCAGGAAAAATTACTTGTTATTGTGGCAGTAGTCCATGCTTACAAGCTTATCTTTATCAATGTAGTAAAACAAAGTAATTTATTAATACCAAGGCCAGCATGGTTAATTGCTACATGCCTAACAGTTGGTGATTTCAATTTGCTGTTTAAATGATGCTAATGAAGGCCACTGTGTCCTATGCTACATCTAGTGGTACATACATGTATGTATGTGTGGTACATACATGTATTGGCAAGCCAATGTGCCAGTCTCCAAAATGTGTGAAATATTTTCCCACTTGTGTAAAAAGGTGTGAAATATTTTCCCACTTGTGTAACAAGGTGCACAAATGTTTTCCCACTGAGTGAAAGGCATGAAAATGTTTTCCCACCTATTTCAGTCGTGAAAATGCAAGCCTCAAATTTAACTTTTTTCACCACTAACTTTCCACCTACACTTTCCCAAGAATGACTGACCAGTTTGTTCATTGTCAGATGAGGCCAAACAAAATAACTGTGGCACTTCCTATTACATGTACACTGAAAAAAATAGGCTGGGTAGGTGGGTAGTATCTTTGTTTTTTTGAGTCACAAATTTTAAGGTGGGAATTTTCTTTTTTATTAAAAAGTGATTTTGACGGTCTATGGTGTGTTCCGTTCGCTGTTTTTTTCGCGGATTCATAATTTGAGGATCGGTCTTGTCAAAGATTGTACTGAAGTCAGAGCCTCTTCAGACAATTATACATTTGTATTACACTGACATTTCAATGAGTCAACGTCCAAAAACTGTTTGCAAGCTCGTACAAAACGATGCACACAGAGCACTTAAAACTTACGCGATGATAAATGACAAAAACTAGTTGTCAAGAAACCCTCAAAAAGCAAAAGCAAAAATGTTATAATGGAGATTGTTAGTCACTACTTCCACTCACGCAGGAATGGCAGTAATGAGTCCCACAGACACATGTAAGTGTTAATTTTGAGGCTTGTGAAAATGTTTTCCAATGTGGGAAATTGCTTTCAAATTTAGTGAAAAGAAAATTAATTTTCTTTAGAAAAAAAAGTGTGAAAAGCATTTCCCATTCCCAGGCAAACTCTAAATTGCAATGCACTGTAAACAGTTCAAAAACTTTCAATTTGTGAAGTCACGACAGTCTGATTGAACAGGTATTGATGAAAGGGGATAACAGAATGAAGGAACAGTATTTAATGTGAGAATTGAAACCAGCAAGGAGTCTGGTTGGTAATAACAGCCTGTGCCCTCCATTCGGGCTATAAATTATTAGAGATCAGACCACAAGCAGGTTTAAAACTGCTCATTTGAAAATACTCCCATACATTACAATGCCCTTAATCAGCAATCGGTTTCATCAGAGTGAAGAATTTAACGGGTGCCCTGCTATTCAACAGTTCGATACGGCAGCGCTGTCCACTCACCTTAAAGGTGCGGTCTTCAGACACAGACACCAGGGTGGAGGGCAGGTGAGGGGAAAACTCTGCCGAAGTGACTGGGGCCACATGACCCTCTAGCGTGGTATCTAGTCTTTCCAGCTGCAGTACACAAATGAAAATGGATAACAGTAAGTTTTCAGTGACCACATGACAAGCAAGACTCCAGGAAGGCAGTAATGTAAATTGCAATACATATGACAAGCTCGTAGTATTTTTCTACAAGAGGTACACAATCTTCGAGGACCACACTAATTTGTCTTCATAATTGGCAAGGTATAATCAACTGAGTGGATTTATTTGGTCAATTTAGGCTAAAAATACAAATACTCGTGCTTCAAGTTTCCCAACCGACCCTAATTTTTCAGCGCAACCCTCAAGCTCTTATCGGCAAGTTAGAAAAACAAATTTTAAAAAATTCAAAAAGTACAAAGAATGAATCCTGTTGTCTTTTCTGTCTTCACAAAACACCTCTGAACAACCCTTTTTCATGCTAAAATGCTTGTTTTATATGTTTTCCTAGATAAATTTGTAACTTTTGAAAGGAAACATCCGTTATTTTCACAAGTTCCCTTTGCATTTTGCTGTCAAAGTGGTGAAAATGTGCGTAAAGCTCAATGCAATGCTGCACTGGTTCCCGCAATGCAGCGTCCATGCAAAAGAACGCGTGGTGAAAATGTGGCAACCAATTTTCCGGTCTAACGGCCGTTCAATCCTAGAGCTGCAGATTGAAAATCATTAATGTTGCAAGAAGTTTTTGCAAGTTAATTCACAAAACTTGGTCTCTTGTCTATGTATGTACTTTCTGCGGTCAGGAGTATGCATCACGCATGCTTACCACGTGATACAGGGACATCTTTGGCCAGTTTGCCGTTGTGATTACATGCCTGACTAGCGTTGTGCATAGTGGTGTAAATTGTTCATAATTCTTAAGAATTGTCAACTGTAAAAATTTTTGCATACATTAAGGCAAGTTTTTATTACTTTTTGTGGCAATTTTTGGAAGCTTATGTCCCCATTCATGCCATTCAATCAGCACAAAAAAAACTGACCTTCCCCCCAAAATTTCTGACCAACCCTATTTTTGAGAGGTATGAAATCGGAGACAGAAATATTTTTTTCTTGGCCCTAGTTATTTTGAAACTTACATATTAGTTGGCACGTTAAACTCATGGATTGAACTTGGATAAACTTGTATATATCAAGTAATGATAAAGCTACATGTATCATAAGTTAATGATATCTTCCTTCAACCAATCAGAATTTGTGTACTCTGGATCTGTGTCATTGCAAGTAAATACAAGTAAATATCAGACATATGTGTCCACGGTTGATTCATTCAAACTGAGGAAAACCCTCAATATATATGTATTCAATTCTGCCTCGCCCTATATTACGTCACTCCGTGATCACATAAGATTGCACTGACCGCACCTTCAGAGCGTAATCTTGGCACCACTCAATTGGTTCTTGGCACCACTCAATTTTGAGCAGGCCTACACTGGCCTTACTGTTTTTGGTGTAGTACGTATTTGCAAAAGCCTACTATTTGTGATTTATCATGGCTAAAGTAGATGAAAATGAGCAAATCTTACTGGAACTGGCTCAAGAATTGACCGAGGCGAGACCCAAGGAAGCAGTTAGTGAATCCAAGCAATGCGTAGCCAATGTTATGAACACGTTCAGGCTAAACCACCTACATGTATGTGTACGCAGACAAATGTCAGGAAATGTAAAGCGGTAGATGAAATGGGGGATGTCCAAGAGACAGACTTAACTGAAGGAGGCTAACGTCAACAAACAGCGGTTACAAAAACAACCAAGCCTACTGGACTGCAGGAAACAAAGGTGCTAAATTGCTCAACTATACAAATTCCGAATGTAAGAAAGGCCACAGGCACTATTGATGAGGTCAGCATGCTTAGCACCATGGCTGAGCATTTTCAAACAATGCAAGAGAAGTCCATGCAGGTGGGTTTCCAAAGGTTGTATAACTCAATGGGTAACACTTCACTGTCTAAGCCATATCAGAAACGCCAAGCACTGCAGGAACTGCTATAGCTGCCCTTGCTGCCACCTCCTACCGCCCCTGCCCATACCGAAGATCCAGACCAGGTACTGGAACATCTTATGACCACAGGTCAGAAAAGGTCAGTTGATGAGGAAAAAACCCAAATGGACACTGAATGCTCTGGGTTTTCAGAGGACATTGCACAAGATAGTGCTGCTGAGAAATGTGGGCCTAAGGTGAAGCCCTAATTGGCCACTATGGTCACAAATATGCTCAAAGTTAAAACGGCTGACACTGAACTTGCTGAAAAACAGATGCCTCATTGATTGGTGTGTCCTGTATAAAGGGTTTTGTTACGATAATGCTCTAGCGCCCTCTTGTGGTAAGACCTTCGGGGTGATTGACTGGTCTGGTGGAGATCACGTTGTTGCAACCCGTATGCCGAGTATGGACGAGCATGGAATAAAGCAGTAGCTCATGTATCCTTAAATAGCCTCTTAAAGCTGAAGCCCCTTTATTAAGCTGCAACACCTCAACACATAACAGGTTTGACTAGGGGCCATTGGTCCGAAACCAAACGTGATTTGCATATACATGTAAATGTGTTAGAGATTAAAGCAAAGCTCTTTTTATGCAATACAGCCTTTTGTCTCCCCTTCCACAGGGGTTCATATTTTGTTGAATAAAGATACCACCACAGCAGTGGCACACATCAGCGAGATGGGTGGTACTTATTCAGAATCATGTAAGGCAGTAACCAGAGACAAAATATTGTGGTGCAAAACCAGCAGGATTTGGCTGTCGGCAGCTTTTATTCCAGGGAAGTGTAATGTAAAGGCTGATTTGGAATCTAGATATTTTTCTGACAATACTGAGAGGAAACTCAGTAGTGATAATTTTGAGATGGCGCTTAAAAGCACGCCAGATCGTCCCCACATGGACATGCCTCTAGACTCATCTTCAACTCACTCCCTATGTTTCGTGGAACCCCGATCCACAAGTTGGCAATTGGTGCATTTACTTTAGACTGGGGAAAGTTTTTAGCATACGCATTTCCCCCTTTTTCGCTCATCAGTAGAGTTCTTCAGAAACTGGAGGAGGATGGAGCAGAGGCTATTGTGATACTTCCTCAATGGCCCACTCAAGCGCAGTATCCTTTGTTACTGAAGCTTTGTGTTTCCTCTCCTATCTATTTACACAGGACTCACAGAACACTAACGACACCGCACGACACTACACTTGTCAATCCTCTGCACAAGGCGCCCCAGCTGATGACGTGCCACTGATCTGCAAAGCTCTGGGCACCAAGGGCATTTCCCCAGGAACAGCAGACATCATACAGCCATCTTGGAGAAGTGGAACACTTAAACCTTATGGTTCGGTTTTGAGGTGATGGCAGTTACTTTGCACAGAAAAATGGGTCAATGCATTGTCTCCAAGCATTCAAGTCGCGTTAGATTTTATAACTTTAACAAAGCAGCTAGTCATAGTTCAATTAATACAGCTAGATCTGCTTTATCTGCAGTAATACTTTACCTGGTAATGTGGCTTTTGGACAGCATCCACTTGTATGTTGTTTTGTCAAGGGTGCATTTCAGTTATGTTCCAGCCTTACTTTACTAGCCAACTTTAAAGTCTGAAGGTGCGGTCAAAGCAATAACACACAATCTCTGATCTCTAATTACAAGCAAAAGAAAATATTTCTGAGACCCCTGCCAAGTTGACGTTTTGGGGGGCAAAAATAGGGTAAAAATGTTAATATTGCCAGTTCTAAAACATACTTCAATCAAGCTGTTAAAAGAGCATAAAGGTGACACTTAAAAGGGATATTTTTTTGTTTTATTCAGAGGCTAGGATGGTACTTTAAAGCAATATACATGCAAGTGGATTTGTGAAATATTTGTGCATTTTGGTAAGGTGGACTTTTAAAATAATAACTAATAACAAGTTTTTCAGAGCCCTTAGTTGGCCTAAAATGGTAAAAACATAAAATGAGCTGTTTCCATGGCAATGAGCTGGTATGGATTTCAAAAGCCTATTTTGTTTACTTGCACCCAAAGTCCTTCCATCCCACAAAGTATAAAAAAATTGATATTTTGAGCGTGGACACAAAAGTCTGGTATTTACGTGAAATGAGTCTTGACACTTCTTTGGGTATGTTTTAAAAACAGGGTTTACGGGACCAAGTGAGTGAAGTAATCACGGAAGTGCAAATTTGACCATCTTCATGTTTGGTCCAATCAAATACTCACCTTGGAGTCAAGAACGAGGACTTCACAGTTGACACACACAGCCACCAAATCATCATCATAGCTGAAACTACAGTGCTGAGCAGGCCCCAAACACTGGCCTATAATCTGGCCTCTGATCTGCTCACCTAAATACCCAGGAAATAACAGCCAGTTATCAGTCACAATTCATTTTTGGTCAAAGTTAACAGATGAGATTGACAGGAGGAGAATTTGAACCTGCAACAAGCCTCTGGAGCCACCATACTCCAAGCTGGGGTGTACCAATTTGCAAACAGAGATGACAACTTGCCCCTCTCAGTGTTTTTCGACTTAGATTGATTTAATTACCTCGTTAGCTACCCTTGTGAAAGCATTTGCAAAGAGTCAAGTTTGAATGAAGAAAACAGGATGCGCTCGGCCAGCGGGTTAGAAAGACATGAGAATGTGGAGTCCAGTAGAACAAAACAATTAGACATGGCACTTGACAGTTTGTGTCCTTGATATATGCAAATTAAATGAAGTCGATAGTGTGAAATTCAATGCAGATTTGAAGCCAGAGATTATGACTAAAACGTTGGTAGGTCAAATGTTAAGGTTCATTATTCAGTAGATTTGCTTTTCACTTACCACAAATGACCCACTGGGGATTCATAAGCCCAACAGCTACATGAACAAAAAATTGGGACAGGGATGTATATTGGTATGAAAGAATTTACCCAAGTCATAGGTACTCCTGGCTTGTTCCACATTCCAGACAATGATGTAATCCTCTGCAGCTGAGCAGACCAGGGTTGGGTTATGCTGATGCCCAAAACACAGACAGCTTAGTTTCTTCTTGTGTGCTTCTAACACCAGCGGCTAAGAAACATTGACATCACACACAAACATTTAGTGTCTTAAACCCACAATGCATGATAGTGAAAGTTCAAGCTGGCTAAAATGTGACCCACAAAACCTGCTGATTTCAGGAACTGCAACACACATTTCAAGTACCAGACTGAACACGTACAGAGCATGTTCATTCCTTCAACTACTCCCTCTTATTATTATCCAATTTGCTCATGAATCTTCTTGTAACTGTGCAACTGTAATTAACAGCAGAATTGAAGCTTTACAGTACTCTGAATTTCATCACTTGCCGTAATATCCCTCTGGCATCTGAAGATTTTGGCGCAGTTAGGGTTAATTAATAATGAGAAAACTAACTTTGATTAAGTGCAAGCAAGTTCTTGGCAGTACCTTAGAGCTGAGGCTCTGCATACTCCAAATGCCCGCTGACTTGGCGAAAGGCAGTGCCAGATAGATGCCATTACATGCCAGCTGGAGATGAGAGGGTGCAAATGGAGTGTACAAGGTGCTTTGATGTACGGCTGTCATAATGGATTCTCCTCAACCGTGTAGCATGCATTGACAACCACTAGAAGGGATGCATGTAAATTATGGTTTTTAGATTTAAATACTGGTAATGCAAGGTGTGCATCAATCATTCCCCACACACTTTTGTATTAAGAATGTTCAATGGAAATTGGAGATCTGTATGCATACGTACATGTACACGTAAACACCATAACACACTTTAAGCACAAGGCCTTTATTCTTCAGACTGCCATTTTGGATTATGCTCCCCTTGGATTCCCCCCCCCTAAAGTCTCCAGTTTGTGTTCAAGAGCCGGCCTCAAAAGTAGTGCAGCGATGCGGCTTTTTTTTTATCTTCACTTATTTTCTGGAAATGATGTCCGTACGTAGTATAATGCGCATTGTCCATTGGGACTGCATGCGCACGTAAAACCAGCTGCTACCAACACTAAAATAGACTGGCCCCCATACGGCCTTTTACTGTTAAAAAGCATTTTCAGACATGTCCATGTAAACAGGACATACAGTAAAACCACCTCGTTTGTCTGGTTCCCAGATATAAATGTATAATACAGAAATGACGCCATCAGAAAAAGAGTGCCCGACTAAATGTATGGGGAACTACTCATAGGATACCCAGCACAATATGCAGCAAAGGGGGACCCCCCAATGTGATGCACAAGCTGTATACCCTATGCCTACTGCACCCCCCTCGGAAATCTGAAAGAAGTTCCAAAGATTCCATTGACACAAAAGAAGACAAAATAGAGCAGGGGTCCCCCTTTGCCACATATCGTGCATCATACATGTATGACTGTTAGAGGGACTGCATTGGAGGGCTGTACATATTACTCAACTGTAGCAGGATTTCAGTCAATTAATTAAGCAAGTTTGCTAGCTTTTGGACATCGTTTTATACCAAATGAAAGACTTTTCATTTTGCCGATGCACAGGTCTACGGCAATGTGTGCACTGACCATAAAACCAGAGACTTTATTTTTTTGGCCCTATTCACATTTTTGTTAACACTCTGATTCTGAAATGGGAAGGAGCCTACATGTATGTAACTGTTTTGCAATAATTTCAATTACAGCCTCACTTTGAAACTATTTTTTTCATTTGGATAAAAGGCAACATGAATTTCTAGCCATAATTTGGAAATACCCATTGGAGCACAAGGATGCACTGCAAACGTCGAAAAGGCTTATTCCCCCTCCCCCCCGACAACACGCCGCTGCCCGGCGATCACGCCGACTGCACCCACAAAAGGCACAAAAGTAACAGCAAACCACAACCCTGAAAAATCTATGCTACATTGCAAAGTTTTCCAGTCAAATGAAAAAAGTCACAGCATCCTTGCCTGATAATGATATTCCTGATCACAATTAAGGTCAAGGAATGTAAGCAGAAATCAAAATTTCCCACCGCACCAGCATAGTCATGTAGTATTCAGTCTGGATACCAAACCCGATGAGTCTAACTATTACCTTAGATTGCATACCGGTCGTTAGGGAATCTTTGGCAGGGAACCAGACTAGGTAGTACTCCAGATATTAAAGTATACCGTGCAAGAAATGAGACCGAGGGGTACCCCCCCCCAACATGTCCAATCCCTATACACATTCCAGACTATTGTTACTTAACACATCCCCCCAAAATGTCTGAAAGGAATTCCCCAGATTCCTGCGAGACAATAACCAACACAAGGCAGGGGGATAAATCTCCGTCTCATACCTTGCTGCATATGTATAAAAGGATCCGAAGAAAAAGAAATGGGGCTGCGTACGTATCACCGTGATGAGGATATCGACAAGAACATAATATCAAATCAGTGCTCTGGAATATCTGATTGATGTTATATTCTTGACGATATTCCGAAGAAAAAGAAGTCTTGTACCGCACGAGGGCGCTATTGAGTAAGAAATCAAACTTGCATTAGTCCTTCAAGATGACTCGCAATTTTGAGTGAAATCGTCTTACAACTGCTTGTTTGTTTCTTTGTATGCTCATAGGTCCAAAAATGGATTAGATTGTTCAAATTTTTAAAAAGACGTTGGATATTTTGAATATATTGTTCAAAACCAGGCCCGTAACCAGGACTCTTCGTGGGAGCCGAGGGGTGCGAATCCTCAACAAAGCGGACCACTGAAGCATAGGCCTAGATCTTTAGCTGTTTTATTATCAACATCAGGATTCATGAGGTCGTTTTAGGGGCAAACCGTTCTTTTATAGTTCAAAAACGTTTCTTGCCTCAAAAGCGGACCTTTTAGTAGCGCGGATGGGGTTCCAATGCACCCCCGGGTACTGGCCTGAAAATCCATGTTCCCCGGAACCAATGGCGACTCCCATGTATGAAAACATTTAAATGATCAGAAATTAAATTGTAAATTATTTGGTATTTTTTGACTGGTACAAAAAAAATCCAATTTCCAAGCTTACAGGATAGGCCTTCTTCAAACTGAAGTAGTTTCAGTGTAATACATTACATTTAGGTGGCAGGAACATTAAAACTCAGACAATGTAGTTTTGCACTTAATGCTTTTACGCATTGATGATGCTTTTACCCATTTACTGAAGACGGTTTGAGAATGAACGTTGCATATTTGCCTTAGGCTGCTTTTTTTATGGTGTCCCTGGTGGATGGCCAGTGAGCATGGCAGTCAGTATTGGTGTTAGTATTAAGTGGAAGCGGCTGTGTTAGGATGACTGAACTTTTGAGCATTTTTGCCCAAGTCGATATGCAACATTCATATAAATACTTGGATTTCCTTAAGTAATTACTCTGCATGCTGAAGTTTCATCTGATTTTCACTGTTTCCATTTATAATTTCATACAGGCCTACTCCTACTACCGTTTAATAGACTTTTAGTATATTATAACAGTGGTCAGTCGAAATATATCATAAACTTCAAGGGGCTCTTTGATACAAAACGTAAATAAAATCGCAAATTTTAAGGTCCATCCATAGTTTGATCGTTTTCCCATTGAAAGTATTCTTATCGATATCAGGAATGAAGTCCGTGCTGTCTCAGGCCTATGCTTAGCTGATGGAAACAAAGCAAAATGAGCGGAGCCCTCCTTTAAAAAAAAAGACGACTTATGCTGTCTTCGGCTGTCTTCTTTCTTCGAAAAAAACTGGATAAAGAGGATCAAAAGAACACATGATAAGCATCTTCTGAAACAAATTTTGGATTTTTTTTAACCGATGAGCGTCAAAATCTAAAATTCTTGAGCATGCTGTGCCAGAAGGTCATGCAGCAATTAAGCTTCTGGAACCTTCGCCTATGGGGATTTTACATTGGGCCGTCCTATCACGTTCGCTAATTTTAGGAAAAACGAACTACCCAAAGAAACACTCATACGGGAATTTCTCCTTTGTCCTCAAGTAATATCTTAGAAAAGTCACCTGGAGACGGTTAAAAAACGAATTTCATTAACGAACTTTCACTTCCGGCAATATCGTTCCTATAGATCTCCTTATTCGTGCATATTTGTTTTCATTCCCCGGCTTACGTCAAAACGAGACTGTACAACGTCGCAAAGATTTACCTGCCTACAGTGGAGTTGACCTGACACAGTTTTTGTCAGCAAATATTAGAATCTTTTGTAAAAGCGGAATATTGCTTTGAGTTTATTTCCTTATAAATTACAAATTCGACAAAATATTATGGTCTGTTTTCATTTTGCCTATCACCAAAAGACAACTGGTACCATAAAGTATAATTCCGTAACTGTTCATCTGCATACGAGACCACAGCATTGGACTCTCCATGTATTTTATATTTTTAGAAGTGCGTGATAGGTCTATTTTGGGCAGGATTTCTCATTTAGGTCAGGTAATTTTCAGTTTCTATAACTTATTATGCGGCGCGTGTAACTGTTCTCAAATAGCCTCGTGCTAGGCGTGCGCTGTTTGCATACCAAACTGGTTCATTTACAAAACCTCCCTCGGAACAAACTATCCATCACTTTATGGAAAATGGAACAAAGTACTCTGCAGAAACATCGAAGATAAATACTTTTCGCAACAGAACCTATGAAACAGAAAGTTTGTACTTCAGTGGGAATCAAGTTGCAAGAATGTGGAAACATTAAAATGTAAACACGTGGGAAAAACTACCAATCGAAATAGACGTATTTTGGTAATCATCTTAAGTTTATCCGCTTGGTAATAACTTGCTTCCGGCATTAGTCCCTGAAGAATTAACAGGAAATGGAAACAAATTTATCGTCATGTCAACAACAGAATTAATTTGCCATAGAATAATACTGTATACTGTCCTTTTTAAGGATAAAAAGGTTTCATATACTTTTCTGTTCGTCTTCATCAAATTCTGTGGAAAGGTTTAAGTGATTAAAACTGATCAGTCCGAAAGCCAGTTCAAGTACAAACGCATTTGCAACACGACAGCATTGACTGATGTCTCCAAAGTTTGCTCCGGTTATCAATATGCTTCCTCAAATTTAGATATCAAAGGACAAAACTCAAGAGGGGAAAAATCAAGATCAGGTTAATTAATGTCAGCTGAAATTAAATGGCCATAATATAAACAATAACAAAATGTAAGGACAACTTTCAGCACAAAGTTATAAAAGCCATCCACAAGAATCCTAAAACCGTTGGTATCCATGAAAATCCATGAAAACAGAAAACAGGAAATTTTCTATTTGATTTTTTTCAGCAAGAAATGTTTCAAAACTCACATTTACATTTTCTGGAAAATTTGAAAATAACAACACTGGAAGTGATTTTCAGGTGGTCGAATTGAACAATGCTCTTTGGTAACCATTGTCCAAATTAGACCTCACGTGTTCAAGTTCATTTTAAAACGGGACAGTTAGTCGAAGGTACGCCATTTGTTCAATTTAGCTGTCGGTTCTTGAAAATACGAAATCGCATGCAAATAAACCTTCAGAGGGTATTTCTCCTTATTAATTGTTACGATTCTTGCTTTGTTTATTTTACTTTAGTTTTAGCGGTCATCACAACAGGTGTTTTTGATTTGTTGATTGAAAGAAAAGATGCAAATTTTTTATACTCTTTAATTTAAATTCTCCATCTAAAAAAGTGGGTTTTCTAGAAAAATAAATCCAACATTTGAGCCCTTTCTACTGAGTCTAGATTGGGATATGTGGTCCAACTCTTGCCAAGTTTTTCCAACAAGAGCAATTAAGGCTGGATTTTGGTCAGACATGTTTGAATGTGTACTTTCCAATTGAAAACAAAGAGATAAGATTTATTCTACAGAGCAAATAAATAAGAATTGGATATGTTCGCTTATTTTTTCTCTTTCTATGTTTTATTGATCATAAAAACGCAAAACATACAGTAGAAAGAAAAAGCACGAATTATACACAATTAAGGAGATTGAGAAAACGGGAGATAAATGGAAAGTATAAAAAAAAACTTCAGAAAAAAAGTGGGGACCATGAACAGATTTAGAAAGATGGTCACTGTATATGTCCATTTGAAATAACTGCATAGGGTTTATAGAATTAGAATTGAAATCTCCATTTTATATAATGAAGACTAAGGGTTTTATTATTGATAGCAATCTTATATTCTATTTGATATTGATTTTGTAGTCTTAACCCAAAAAAGGAATACATTTGAATCTGGAATTTACACCTATATAAATAAAACTTAGTACAAAGAAAAACATAAGTCAAAAATTTGTTACGGGGAACTCCAAAAAAGAATTCAAATTTCCCAAACTGAATTGAGTCTTTGAGATTTTGGTTGATAAAAGACATGAGGTCTGACAAGATGGGTGAAACATGGTCTCACTCATAAAAAATATGAATCAAAGTTTCAGGACATCTATCACAAAAAGTACAATTTGTTCGCTTATTTTATTTTTAAAGATATATTTATTCGCGAATTCGAATGGGCAAGCTTACGCAACTGCAAGTCTGAATAGTATGCGTGTCCAGATGCACACTTTCAAATTGAATAGCCATTTATTTTTAAATTCCAGGAATACTGCGATCGGACAACTCACATCTCAACTATGAAAACTGTTTAACATCCTTTTTGGATGAAGTGTTTTGAAAAGTGATCTTTTTTCTTGAACATGTAAATATGTTCAATCATTTCTTGATATAATGAGGGTGCCATTTCTGTGACGTCAACCAGGGAGGAGGGGCTCTGTATAGTGTGACCCGATTTGTGAACGACAATCAAACTACACTGAAACTGCGCTGCAATAGCTCCCTATAAAACAGTATTCCGTAGAAATTGATTTCAATTGAATTATACAGGTACTTTATGTTGCATACATGAGCCTGCATGTGCATTATAAATTAGCCTGCTTAAGGTGACCTACTATAATCTAAAACATATCAGGACCTACTTCCTAACTTTTGAACACTAATAAACAATTTAATGGAATTTTAAAGTATTGAAAAACCAAGACCATCCCAAATACATCATCAATCACACATGTATGATGTATGAGTGCGACTTGGATGATCATTTTTCTCTCAGGTTTTCTGACTTTGTTCATTTTTTCTCGAGAAAATTCAATTAAATTGTTTTCGCTATTAGTTTCTAATGTAAGTGGAATCTTTGGTGCTCCAAAAGATTTTAACATCGTAATTTTTCCTGTGCGTACGAGATCGTCATTTCTTAGTATGGCCCCCTTCCATCATAATCAGAATTAACTACATCGTCAGTTTTCTTGAAGTCAACTTGTGCATTTATAAAAACACGTACTGATGCTCAATGTACCCCTTTGGTTTAATGAACATGTACCGGTACTGTACCCATTCGATTAGCTGCTTTCTGCACTTGCGAAATCTGAAGAACCAGATCTCTTTCTCTTTGGCATCTGCACTTTGTCTTGTACAACCTAAACAAAACAGATGGATACCTTTTCTTTAGGTAGTACTCCAAGCTATGACCAAGTTCAATGGTAAGATATGAACGTGAACTGTACATGTACGTACAGTATACAATGTACCTCGAACATGTTTTTACAAAATGCACAGGTTCGCTCCAAGAACACCAACCATAAAGTTGTACTACTCAGGGGGGGGGGGCACACCAAGAAACGACGATCTCTGGCACACAGGAAAAATTACGATTTTAAAATCTTTTAACAGAGCACTACAAATTTCACTTAAATTAGAAACTAATAGAAAAAAAATGATTTAATGGGATTTTCTCAAGAAAAAATGAACAAAGTCAGAAAACCTGAGAAAAAGTGATCATCGAAGTCGCATCCCTGTACGTTTTCAATGGCCCTCTCAAACTTCTTGCCACCAAGGTCATTTGTGCGCGTGCGTGCAAATTATGAATTAAGTGAGAGGTCTATTGACAATTTCTGCTGAGGCATTAGCATCAAACATCCCCTCCTACAGTCTCTTTTCATAAGGAGATAGTGTGGCCGGAAATTATGGAAGGATTGTGGAAAGGTGGGCCAGCATCAATTCCCACGGTTTGGGAGCTTCCATCTGCATGAGGGCAGAGTTGACAAACGCAAGGATGAAAAATGGTCCTCATAGTGCCACAGAAAGTAGAGCAAAGCTATTTGAAAACCGGGTGTGATAGACTGGGCGTGAGTTTGTTTTCTGCGAATAAAATTTTATTGGCTAGCACACCAAAAATTGAAAAGAAATGGAAAAACTAGAGTCAAACTTCCATGTTATTGAGCCCTAAACTTCGTTGAATTTCCACCGTTTGGGGTTTGATTTAGTTCACCGCACCCTTAGCGGCGGACAAGAACGACATTACTAGGATAGAAAGCAAAAATCCCCAAAATTGGAGGGGAACTGTAGGCTCTCAAATATTTTTTGTGGGAGACGTCATGGTAATTTAGCCCCAATAATGTCATTGTTTCCGTATAGGCCTTTATGAGGTATTCAAGTTAACAACACACAAAACGTGCGAAGACTGTCTTAGGTAAATGGTCAAAATTATTTTCAAGAGCATTATCTTCAAGCACAAGTGATCTAAAACTTCTCGACAAGTGCTTAGTTGCCAATACAAGAATTAAGTCATATATTCAACTCTTTGTAAACCGAGAAAATGGCGGAGTAAACACTTTTCATACATTTGTGTATCACCGCCCCCTCACCAAGCCATGGAAATTTGAAATTTTAAAAGCGGCGTATACTCTTCATACACTTATAGGGGGCGATGTTTACGATAAAGATGTAATGTGTATCAAACTCAAGCAGAATCTTTCATCAGAATGGTCCACATATGGCTTTTAAAAATGCTTTCCTTTTAGTGATATTGCAAAAATTTTCGTCGTTGGTAAATCCTGAAATTTCTTCACAATCCACTTTAATGATTTTGCTCATCACAAAAAAAGTTTGGGGGATCAAAAGCTCATTCCCTCTCCCCCAGATTTACGCCCATGGTTGGTAAACAACTTTTCCCTCAAAAATAAAGATTTTGCCCTTACCAGTTTTAAAATGGGAGAGTTATTTACTTGGTAATCAGCAACCGTCTTTATACTTCAAAGTGTCAACAGTTGTGAGAGATTTTTGACACTATGTGAAATGTAAATCATCCTTCTGGTTTCGGAATACTTTTTTTTTTTATTACCGAACACTCTCGGGATGCATCATAGACCTATATTTTCTTGTGGGAAAACGGTTTTATTGTCAGTCTTCAGACTTAAACTTGGAGTCAGACTTCATGTCAGGAAGGAGCTACCCCTGTTGAAAGTTCTTACTTATATAACTTTCCCTTCAACAAAAAATCCTTCGGATCCACGAATTAGGGGGAAAGGAATTTTTAGCAGTAAAGTAGGATCCAACTAAAAACAAACATTTATCAGAAAATAGTTTGAAACAAATAAACAGCTGTACGGGATGCCAGCTTTTATTCAAGTCTGGTATCCCCAGGCAATGTGAAAAAAGTTGTTTCCACTCACGGCCAGTAATATTTTTTCAACCATGAATGGTTAGCAAAACCTCAGCGCTTGTTACGTAGCAAAAGGAAGACCTGGATGTGGGTGTCAGTAACGCTATAGTTTGAAATTAATGGCAGCATCTCCAAAAAAGAATCCCAGTCCCGCCATTTGATATACATGTACCACCTGTCCTCCACCAACAATTAGGAATGGCATATTCTCTTGTCCTTCTGCATTTTTCGAGATCCTTCCCAAAAGTCTCTTAGTCCTTGACTTGAACTAAACGTAAAAGTTAGCTCTAGTCGGTCGCGAGTTGCGCTATGGATAAAACTGGAAATAATGGGCCAGGCCAGGTTACGCGGTCCACATGGAGGTCTAGCACAGAGCACAAAAACACCGTGAAATACATGTACATGTAGGTCTGGACAGCATTTTGATCTTGTCATAATTTTTTTTATATTACAAGACCAAGACAAATTTTTTTCTCACGAGAATTTATTTCGTGTTGGTTCGCGTTCTTCTTGCGCACGTATGCACACAAGCTTTTTAGATATTTTATGCGGGAACCAATGATCTGTCGACTTGCTTGCTAGGTGCTTGATACATGTAGGTCACGTGACCACAATATGTGTGCAGCCATCTTGCTGTACAGTGGGGACCCAGCTTTACGAAAAACCGACACGTTATCCCTTCACTCGTAAGACGAAATGTGCCTGATTTTGTAAGTTTTTACCATAACTGTGTCATGTGTGATATCAAGTACTTATCCCCGGGGCTGTGACTCAAAAACAGTTTTCTATTTTGCTTTATGGACGGTGGCAAGCCGCCGTTATCGTCGGGTGTTGCAGTTGCATGAATGGCTGGAACGGTTGCCAAGCGGCCTGTACACAATTTTAGTCATGTTGACCTCCAGTCCGTGAAAAAAAGGGAAGGGGAACGAGAGTATAGCGACCATCCTGAAAGGTCTGCAGCACAAAGAATGGATGAAGATGACATTCTGGCACAGCTAGAAGACGATGGATATGCCGAACAGAGAGCCTTCATTCTGGATGATCTCACCCAGAAAGTTCGCCGAGATGGGGGCAGGTTACCCTTCGATAATCGACATGCGCTTTTTCGGGGGCTGACGCTAGTGTTGCTGGACCAGAACTGGGAAGTAAGGTTGAAATGCATTCAGTTCATTTGTGAACTCATCCCCCAGTTTGGGCCAGAGTTAGACTCCTGCATGGCCATTGTACTACCGCAGATCGTGGCCAATCTGGGGGACAGCAGAGTTGCCATTCGAAAAGCAGTCATTCAGACACTACACATACACATGAAACACACAACCAATGTGCAGCAAATTTTCACCATCCTAGTCACCCATGGCCTCCAAAGTAGAGATCCCAAAGTTCGCATGGAAGCAACCATCCAATTACCTGTACTACTAACAAGAGAGTTTGCCTCAGTGGATCTTTCGAGCATCACTCATGCTCTGGCTAAGAAGTTTTGCGAGGATAAAGATGAAACTCTCATTGACACCGCTGGAATTTCACTAGAAAGAATACGATCTTTAGTCGGTAAACAGCAGTTTGATTCTTACATTCAGCAATTGCCATCGCGTGATAGAAATGCATACAACCAGCGTGTAGTCAGTGCCGTTAGACCTAGGGATACTGAAATACATGTACACAAACCAGCACCGGATGAATCCAGTCCTGGTCATAACAAGGAACAAAAGTTGGGGTCAAGTTCCAGGTGGCAAGGAGATACTGAAAATGGAGAGCGATACGAGTTTGGAATTATACCAAAGCATGTTATGGACCAGTTGCTGGATCAGACACAGTGGAAAACAAGAGCCAATGGGGTACAGGAGCTGAAGACCATCATCTCTGCACTGGATGATGCTTCTCGCATTGTACCTCACATGCTTGCATTCATAAGCTTTCTCTGCAATCTCCTTGATGATGTCAATTTTAAAGTGACACTGTTGACCCTTGAAATCTATGGTGTGCTGGTCACCAAGCTCAATACAGACGTGAAACAGTTTCTGAAACCTCTTATAGCTGCGCTCACAAAGCGATTTGGGGACAACAAAGTGGTTATCCGCCAGGCCAATATGAAGGTCCTCATGCAGCTGATGCACGTGCTGACCCCACAGTCAGTGGTCAGTGCCATTGGTGACAGCCTGAAACACCGTAAGTCAGGTGTGCGCGAGGAAGCACTGAACATTATCATAGCCTCGCTGCTGACCTTCCCCAGCTATGACTTTGACCTTGCCAAGCTCTGCCAGATGCTGGCTCCCATGCTTGCCGATGCCAAGCGCCGCGTCAGACAGGCAGCCTTGGAGTCATTCGCAGTTCTAGCCCAGGCCATGGGACCCAGCAGGATTCAACCACTCATCCACGCTGTTGATCAAGTGGAGCTCAACATGGATGAAGACGGGGTCATGAAAGCAGTGCAGGCAAGACTTGCTCGCAGGCGCTTACCCAGGCTCAATGAGGATGGCCTAGTGGAGTACGCAACTGCCATACCCACGTCTGCTACGAGCAGAAACAATCCAAGCATGTCCAAAGAAAACGATGTACAATGGATAATGAAAGGAACAGGGAGTATAACCTCAGGCAGTGCTAGAGAGAGGAGCCACGTGGACCCAAGGAGTCTCGAACTATCTCAACCCTCACCTACACGTGCCATCCCTGGACAAACTTCCAATCAGGAGTCATCCCCACCAAAGAGATACTTCAGCGCAGGGAGAGGGAGGGGCAAACTACCATGGGAGGAAGAGAGTGATACTTTGGAACCAGAAGAAAGTTTGCCGCCTGGGAACAGTGTCAGTAGGACGCATATTATCAGCAGTGCACCAACACAGGTCTGTATGAAAATATCTCTCCCTGTTCAGAAAGAAAGTTCTGTAACCCAATTGAAAACAACAAGTCATTTAAATGAGTGAAAAGCAGATTATTCTTGTTGCTTGCAAAATGCCTCCCACCGTTGAAAAAATTGCAGAATTCTTTATTTCCTTTCACTCAAGACATAATTTACATTTTGTAAAGTGTACATGTATTAATCAGGGCTTACATGTACATGTACAGTGTACATACATACTGGTGCATGTATGTACTTCCATAACTGTAAGTGTAAGGTTTATTCAAACCTCACATATGGCTGCATGTACAAACTCACTTGACACATTTTGGCTGTTTCGATTGAGACAATGTACATTGTACATGTACATGTACTCTACCATCACAGCTACATGTATTTGTGCAACAAAATTTCATATATACATGTACTCTCATACATGTATGCCTTCCTTCCTTGATGAAGTTACATGTATATGTCTGATCGGGAGGTTTATTCACCTTACATGTATATCCTCATTAAAATGGTGAAATTCTTGAGCACTTTGCCCATCCACACTACAGAAAATCAGCACCATGTACTCTCAATAGCTGTCAGCAGCATGACAGCTTGACCAATTGCAACACAGCTCCTATCTTTTCCTTATTGTTTTCCTGACCCTATCAAAATTTAAGTTGGGCTATGATTGGTCACTGGAATGGAAGCGAATTGGGCCAATCGCAGTATGGATTTCATCTATGGGTGACAAGGAAACAATAAGGAAAAGGTACTTTGTACATGTAGGAGCTGTGCTGTGATTGATCGAGCTGCTATGCAGCTGACAGTCATTGAGAGTACATGCACACGTGCATGCTGCTGATTTTCTTTGGCATGGATGAGCAAACTACATTGTACTCATGAATTCCACCATTTTAATGAAGATATCAGGTGAATAAATCTCCCCATCAGGCATGTATGAGATTGTGTTGCACAAATACACGTAGCAGCGATGGCAGAGTAAGTTGGCACAATAAAAAACAGCCAAAATGTGATCATGAGAGTTTGTACCGGTACTTGTACAATGTACATGTACTAGTACCAAGTACATGTAGCTACATTTATAGATACATGTACATGTAAGGTTTGTGCAAATTATGCACATCGATAGAGCATGAAATTACGGTCAGACATTTCCTGACCACACTCCAACCGCTGAAGTGCTCGGGCAAAATGTCTGAACAGCGTACATGAAGTCATTGTTCAAGTCTTGTAAATATATAATCATTGTTTACGAGTGCTGTCTGCTTAAGTTGCTTTATGCATTGAGGAATAAAGAAAACAGCCGCGACTCCACTGGGGCATTTGCTCTTGAAACATTCAACACAGGCATTTCAATAGCTACCCCAGCAAATCATGAATTCGGCATACGTACTGTACACTGTACGTACATGTACATGTACGTAGGACTTCAGCATGGTACAGTAAAGCGAGCAGAGTACGGGTGAAACAGGTTACTCCCTACAAAAAGACCTGAAGTCAGGTCGCCATTGACAGGTCTCTTTGCACACATGTACCAACAGTTTCTGTCAGAAAAAGTTGACTTTACCATGGTTACTTGATTTCGGAAACCTTGGTCAATGCCTTTTTTATGCTATGACCACATCGCCCAAACAATAATGGCATTTGTACTTGGTTGTGTGTGTTCCAGTATAGAAGTTAACCTATTCATGTACCGGTACACGTACATGTACGCTGTACCTCCATGGTTTCAGGTTTTTCAGGGTTTTCTGGTCTTGTTCACTGACAAGTTGTGAAGCCACAGCGTGGGGTTTGGGGCTGGCTGAAGGGCCCCTAAAATTTTGAACCTTAGATGCTCTCTTGTGCATTCTAGAGCATTTCCTGAGCTTTTCACCAGTAATTTCCCTGGGAAAAATGAAAGATTTAAAAGTAACTAAGTACTTTATTCCAGTGATTTATTTTCAATTTTTTACAAACATGTTTACATTGCAAAAAGTTGGTCAATTATTTTTCATTGACAAATCTTTGATTGGCAGGTGTTGCAAAGTTCCATTTTCAAATTTTGTACGACGATGTGGTTGTTTTCCTTTCAAAAGTGTATCGGTCACAATTTTTTTGCATATGGGTAATGATCGGGAAAAGAATCAGGCCGATACACAAGTTTTTACGTGGGGATAATCCTGATATAATGTACCATATACGTATACATATACCGGTAGATGTACGGTAACTGTGTGTATTGCGTGTGTACATGTACAGTTGACTCTCGTTAATACGAGGGCCTTGGGACTTACAAGATTAGCGCATATTATGCGGACCTCGTTTTACGCAAAAACTGCTGTCCTGCTCGAAGTATGTATTGCCAATCGACCGTAGGTAAAGCGTACATGTGTGCAAGCATGCATAACCCTTTTTGTTTAAAGGCACATAGTATCGTTTTGTTACATGAGTTTGATTTTAAAAAGTTTGTTTATAAAAGTGAGATAAAGTTTAACAAATAAAGACTTGTAATGAAGAATAATTATAAAATGTAAGAACAGAGGAAGTGGAATTTCCACCAGTCATGTTGATGCAGAGCGACATGTCCCCAGCCCTGCATGCCGTGATGAGATCCACATGCACACACGTAACATAAGTACATGTACATTAACATTTTAGTTGGTAACCAACACCAGAGCTGCGCTTGTTGCACTTAAAAATGGGAGGAAACCAGCTCTTGGTGTTGTGGACAGCAGAGGGCGAATATCAGATTTTACTTGGGAAAGGTGTGTGGGTTTGGTGAAAAATGGTTGGCAGGTTGATACACTTTTTTCTTCCAAACTTGTGGTTATTTTCTTAAACATTTTGGACTGAAAACCACGGTTTAGTCATGATTTTCTTAATTGAGAACTTATAGAAATGTCAAAATCAGACGGTGTGATATTTTCATGTTACGGTGGGGACTGGGGAGCAGGTAAGGATTTTTAGACGGAGGGTGGGCAGTTTTTTGGGTTGGGTGTTTGGCTACAGAACGCAATTTTTATTACATGTAGTTTCCAGGGGGAACTTTGGTCTCGGGGAATTTCGGGGGGCAGGGAATCAAACAAAAGATTTCTTTTGTTCACCACTATCCTAAATACCGTAGCTTTTTTGGCGGCACTCACTTGTGTTCAGGTGGTACCAGAGCCACCACACAGAATTTCTATGTTGGGTACGGGAACCGCAAATGCCCATTGTTCGTCTCTCTTGCAGCACCGGACCCAAACGGCTCGATTCGGTGAGGGAAAACTGCAGCACGCTGTTCTACTGTATACGAATAAATTACGGAAGCGCCTTTCAAAAAAGCTTGTGCTAGATTTGCACTCATCCATTGCACAAAAATGTTCGTCTTAACCGAAATCTCGTAACATCCAAGCTCGAAGTACACATTTTTTCCCTCACAGGAATGTGCACAATTCAGTCGGGACTGGCAAATATGCTCATCTGAACCGGAGTCTGGTCTTACCTGAGCTTGTATTACTGAGAGTCGACTGTACATGTACATGCAGAGCTTCATTTTTACATGTACATGTACATGTATGTATGTTTACAACGTATAGCAAGCCTTGACACACTGAGGCCACAAGTGGCCATTGCCACAATGCCCAAATGCTTTGGCCACATTGCCCTCTGATAAAACCTTATTCCGCTTTGGCTTTGTGTTTGCCATGAACACTGATGGCTCTGGAGAATACAGGTACATGTACCAGTACGTGTGCATGTGAATTAAATGTGCAAATTATCACATTGAATACAGTGTGTGCACCCAGCCTTAATGCGTAGTGCCCTTGCCTTGCGGGGCATATGATATCCAAAGACTGGCTTGCCCGCTGCCATGGTAACCATGGAAACGGCTGGCAAAATTGATGCAAAACTGACCTTGGAGTGGGAAGTGGGAGCTGAACGGAATCGATGTGGGTAGAACAATTGCAAAATGCATGAAGGTGAGGAGGATAATTGCAATTCAGTCACGTTCTCTTACGCTGGCCATGGCTAAATGCTTGCCACTATCTTTTAAGTGTAGCTTGAGTGAATTTTTCTTCAACACAATTTTTCTGCATCGTTGTACTTTTCTTCATTGTATGAAAACTTTTACACATTCCTACATGTATTTGGTAAAATGCATTGAAAAGTGCACACTTTTATTTTTAAACAGTCAAATTGTCCATGTTTTCGTAGACAACTGAGGGCGCTGTTGCTATGAAGTCATTTCGGGAAGACATGGTTCAGTGCATCTGTAGGCATTTCTGTTCAAATTGTGAACCCAGAATTTACCTACTGAAAACATTTCCGAGAAAGGGATTGATGGTTTCTTATTGCTATGCACATAAACATCAATGAATCAGCAAAGAAGAGAAACTTTGTCCGGGAAAATCTACAAAAACGCAGGACTTTTTTGTGTACAAACCAGTGTAATATTGAGGCTTCTTCCTGAGATGACATCACAGTTTTGCTCATGAATATAGAAATACTCATTAGCATAAAAAACAAAAGCGCATAAAAATAAAATAGTTTGTGTGAACTGCTTTTCAAATGGATCAATCATAATATAAACAGACTAACATTGAATAAAAACTACGTCATTGTACATCTCATAATTCACATGTTTGTTGGGATTTATGTCCATACATTTCATATTTCACACTTTACACTGGAAGTTATTTCCAAGGTACATGTACATGAAAGTACAATTGAAGAATACGTACACATACAGTATGAATGATTTAGATACATGTACCAAGAATTCTAGGTTTTCATCAGACCACAGTTCGAATGCTGGATGGAAATTAAACACACTTCTGGGAGGACCTTCAGCAGCAACCCTCATCAAGACATTCAGTGTGTCAGGTTTGAGGTTGCACCATTTTATATAACGCAAGTACAAAATTATTTGAAGACGAAGCATACATGTACTTATGTTTAAGGCCCAGGAAGTACATGTACAATGTGTGCAAGTACATGTACACATGGAGCCCACACATTCTTGTTCGC